CGACGAAACTACCAGTCTGCCCAGTCGATCAAACCGAGGAAGCTACGATCAAGGCGTCTTCTCTGACATAGAAGGCGAATTCTCAACTGACGAATCGCTTCCCCCTCGAATCTTCAATGTCCGACAAGCAACGCCGCCTTATTTGGAAGCTACCAAGCCAGGCACGAAGCGGAGAGCGTCCTCTCCTCCCCGTGAGCCGATTGTTGGCGATAGACATGTTCTTAACGTGGCTACGAGTAACGGAGACCTCTCCCAGCGACGGACAAGTGGCCATCCATTTGGCAACTCTCTGTCGGTCAATGTTCCTTATGCGCCCAGTCACGGAAGCCTCTCAGCTGCTTCATCCTTGAGCCTACGAACCTCTGGCTCTTACTCCTCGACGGCCTTCTCTCTAGGGGGAAGCAGCATGACGAGCTATGATCGCTCACCTGGGGGACTGTCGCCCAATTCCGACCTTGACACCTTCCATGATAAGTCGATTCTCAACCCTAGTTCTCCCGTGAATCTTCCGGGCCCGTCCATCTCGAGAAATCCCCCAAATACCGGCACCTTGGAACCATCTAGCGTCGACACTGCTCGGAAAGTATCTATGCAAACAACACTTGCCTTGCCAAAGCCAGCAGGGCCGAAGATGGGCGGACTGTATATTTGCGATTGTTGTCCTAAGAAGCCCAAAAAGTTCGACAGTCCAGAGGAACTTCGGTAAGATTTATCTCGTTTTCTAGTCGCGGCTGGTTGTTTTGTCTAACACCTTCCATAGTGCCCATGAGATGGAGAAGCAGTACTCATGCTTATACTGCAACAACCGGTTCAAGAACAAGAACGAGGCAGAGCGCCATCAGAATTCTCTCCACTTGCGGCGTCACTCTTGGTCTTGTGCAGCCCTTCCTGGATATCAAGCAGCGTTCCATCCCTCGTCTTCTTCGGCCCAAACGAGCTCTGGGCCTTCCCATGACATCTGCGGGTACTGTGGTGAAGAGTTCCCGAATTTCCCACAGCCAGACTGGGACCGCAGATTCGAGCATCTTACAGCAGTGCACAAGTTTGGAGAGTGCAACAATGCGAAGAAGTTCTATCGTGCCGACCATTTCCGACAGCATCTGAAACATAGCCATGCTGGTACGAGCGGGAAGTGGACCAACATATTGGAGAACGCTTGCATGAAGGAAGAAGCACCTCCCGAGCCCAAGAATGGCGGTGGCAACGGAAGTGGGACGCTTGCATCTAATAAGATCAACGAGGTCCTCAGTGGTTGCTGACAGCAAATGTGCCTCGTGGGAACTAATTATGCCCACGCCGGCCGATTGCTGAACGAGGCCACTGCTTTTAGCAAGAGCATGCTTCATCTAACCTTCTCTCATATATATACACACATTTTCTCCCTAACTATTTCATCACTGCGCCCGTGATCCAACCTGGCGTTCAACGGGGATTTTCCATTTGTGGTCCTGAATCTTTGACGCATTTAGCATATAACGGGGAATCTGGGTATCAAAATTTCACCGGAAAAAGGGGGATATCTTTAAAACGGATCTCGGGGCACAGTGGTATTGATGTGACATGACGGAAACATCTTGCTTTATTCAAATCGGTTTCTTTGGCGATAACAAAACTCGGAGTCCTGGACGGATGATTCTTGGCGGGGCGGCTGATCGTGAGTTTGGGTTTGCATTAATGGCCTGCTTTGATATCTTGCTTCTTCCCTTTGTCACTTTTTTCTTTTTTTCCTTTTCTTTTAACCTTATCCACACCTGCAAGCATTGTACGGCGACGGTGATTGGGCCAGCTGGCTTGCTTCGAATACGCGCCCATCTACCTACCTGTCTTGTTGCCTTGGAATATGTATGTCCATGTTAGAACGTCTCTGAACCTAGCTAAGTGCTGGGTATATGTATATACCTAAGTAGAACTAAGAAAGAACTAAAATCCCATCTATGGACGGATAGACACTCCTCATCTACATACTGATTACTATCCCGAGTAAAGCCATTGAAGAAAAACTTTGCACCACGGGAAATTCATGTTAGTAAGTAGTAGTAAATGAACTCTAAACCCTCTCATTCACTAAATCAAGTAAACAAGTAAAAATAATACATACATACAGTCAGTTACACACTCACTGACTGCCTGCCCACTAAAACGCCAGAGCAATGCATAGCCAAAACCCACAGAGTCTAGGTCGTAACTTTTCCAAGGGTTAGGGGAGGGGGCATTATGAAAGGAATACCAGCCACAAGGAACAACAACAACGATAACATCGAAAGGTGACGAGAATGAAGAAAGTGACAGTCAAAGCTAACTGACTTCATCCATTGCAGCACGCGATCGTGGCGCTATAGATGGATGGAGTCAGTTAGGTAGACCATACCATCCAACAGGGAACAGATGTGACTCTGTTTGGAGTTGAATGGGTGATGTGATGTGATAAAAAATGGTTAAGTAAACAAGCAAGGACACACTCCAACTCCCGAATCAGAACCCCCAAGCAATACATACACTACATGCCTGCGCCTACGCGCACTACCCTTAGATAAAGGGATCCTCTTCCACGACACCGGCAGCTTCCTTGGCCAGTCGTAAGTCCTTGGGTCCAAGACCGAGGTTCTTGAAGTAAGGACCGAAGGAGGATAGGAGGTCCTTCAGGGATGCCTTCATCGTGTCCAGGACGAGGTCGACGTCGGGGACACGGCGAGCCGCGGCTTGTGCTTCCGGGTTGCTGGATGGGGGGAAGTTGACGTCTGTCCAGTGGGCGTCGAGGCCACCGTTGATAAAAGGTTCGAGGGTCGTGATGGTATCGGTTAGGAGGCGTACGACGGTGGCCACGTCGGCTTGGACCTTGCCGTATTGGTCCTCCGCGAGACTCTTGATGAGAAGGCAGGTGAGGGATTCGGTGGCGTCGATGACGGAGCAGATGGTTGCGTGGGGTGTGCCGAGGACAATGCCAGAGAGGCGACGAGCGTAGGTTTGACGGAAGAGTCGGCCTAATGGGGAGCGGAGGAGCTGAGCGAGGAAGGGGTGTAGGTTCTCGGGCTTGCTGGTTGATGGTGCGGTGAGCATCTTGAGCTCCTGGGAGGAACCGAGCAGCTTCTGCTTGCGTTCCGGGCTCAGCATGGCGGAGGAGGCGCGGTCCAAGACATCGCGGGCCCTGGCGCGTGCGGTAGGCGTCCAGTCTGGGGAGTTGCCGTAAGCTCTGGCGGTGGTGGTGAGAGCTTCGCCGATTTTCTGTTGGCGGGTTGATGCCTTGGGAGACGGTGCGAAGATGTTGTCCGCTTTAGGGGGGTCTGTCAACCGTGGCAGGGAGTGAAGAACGGGCTCTGACTGCTGGACTGGCGCAGGCTTAGGGCCAGATGATGGGTTCTTGGCCTCGCTGATGCGAGTAGTAACACCCGTGATCACATCTGTGGCGGCTTGCAAGATTTGCGACCAAGCTGCCCCCTCCTCGCGATCGATGTCGTTGAAGATGGCTTTCCGGCGATCAGGAAATCTCTGGCTGATGAAGTACAGCTCCCAAAATGCGAAGGCGCGAACAGTTTCCTTCTTTGCTTTTAGTCCATTCAGCAGGCTGCCGTTGGGATCCTTGGCTTCGGCCGTCAAGGGCTGGCCTCGCTTGAGTGGCTCTTTGCTGAGGAACACGGAGAAAAAGAGGTTGGCTGTCTGCCAGCAGAGAACTAGGAGGCCTCCTGAGATCAAAGTGCGCACGATAACTCCGAAGATTGGCGGGATAACGCCGGGAGGGCTTGCGGCAGATCTCGGGAAATCCCAGAACAGCTTTGCAAAGAACAAAGTGGTGCGCCATGCCGGGCGTCGGAGGACGAATGCGTATGCGAACGGGCAAAGAATGGAAACCAGAATACTCCGTTTCAGCCCATCCTTGATGAGCTGCGGCAACGCTGACTGAAGGCGTTTAGAGATCGATAGCTCCAGCCGGCTATCTTCATCAGCGGAGCCAGCGACCCTCCTGGCAACGGGAAGAGGGACACGATCGTAGTCGTAGTAAAGATGCGCCACTGACTGCGAGACTGCCAGGAGAAAGTGATAGGTATAAAGATAGATCGCTCTTTCGTTCAAGCTTGCTCGTTCGTGAGGTCTACCATTACTAGTTAGGCAAATCCGAGACGTTGCTTGAGCTCGTTGTCGCAGGAAACATACCTAGCTCTGTTCACCAACTCAAGGTGTGCAGTACTTGAAGAAGACCACCTGTAGATTTCACTAAACCACCAGGCGGAGAACAAGTACCAGCCGAAAGTCTGTATAACGTCGAGGGGAACGAGGTATTTGAAGGTGCTGAGAGGGGAGGAGGTTGTCCTGGCACCGATGTGCATCTGACCAACACGGAGAACGAAGACGACGAGACTGCATAGGAAGAGAAGGACTGTGCGGATTCCACATCCTCCAATGGGGAACCAAGCCCATAAGACTATCGAGGTATCCAGGTGGTTAGCGATCACAACTTTTCAAACGCTACCAGGTGTTGGTGTATACCTACAGGACGATTTATCTCCAATAGCGAATGCCACTACATAGCAGACCAAAAGCGCCAGTGCCGACGCATGAACGAACCGTCTGTGCAGCGCAGAGGTCAAGATGCGCCGATACGGGCGAGGCTGTGCTGCAGCCATGGTGCAAGGTGGAAGAGGGACTGTGAGATCTCTAGGGAGAGAAGAGACAAAACAATTTCACTGCATGATCAGGGGACAAAAACAATTGAAGTATCCGGTCGGCCTGTCAGGACGGAAAGCTCCGAAGGGGGGCAAGTGGAGCTTCGAGGAGTGTCGGCGTCGGATGCGACAATAAAGTGAAGCTTTTCGGGCAAAGCATCAAAACACGCACCAGCCACAAACGCCGTGTCATGTGACACCCCACCAGCCATCGATGGCGTCAGGTGAGTTGCTGCCTGTGAATCATGGCACCAACATAGCCAGGCAACCATTGACACCTGACAGCGATAACGTACTACTACTTTAGCAGGGAGACAGTCGGCCGGTTGCATCGGCCGAATGATCCCACCTTCATCCATCCACTGTCGCATCTCATTCCACCATGTCGTTTGATCGCTTGAACTCGCTAGAGGCGCAGCCTACAACTTTCCGTCGCTCCGACGATCCCCAATATCGCGATGACCCCGAATTCCATCGTTTGACCGAGGGTCTCTCCAACCAACTGTTTACCCTGACCTCCAACATCACTCGGTTGTCCGATCAGATTGCCCTTCTGGGAACTAGGCGAGACACCGAGCGTGTGCGCGAGAGAGTCCACAAGCTTCTGGAGGATACTCGGGCGGGATTCAGGGATGTCGCAGATGGGATCAAGAAGGTCCAAACATGGGAGGATGTCAGTGTATGTGACACCCAGATACATCACCCCAGTGCGCTGCGATCGGACAAGCAATGCTAACGTATTTCTCACCAGCCCTCCCAAAAATGGACTCAACAGAAGCTATCGTCCGAATTCAAAGCTACCTTGGAAGAGTTCCAGACCGTTCAGCGTCGTGCCTTGGAGAAGCAACGAGCGTCTGCAGCAGCAGCTCGGACTGCCGTAGACGAAGCAGAGCCTGGCTCCGGGGGTGATCACCAGCAGCAGCAACAGCAAGAGCAACTGTTGGAGGAACAGCCCCGCCTTGCGAACCAGGATGAAGTGGACTTCCAGGAGGCCCTCATTATCGAGCGCGAGGCTGAGATCCGCAACATCGAGCAGAGTGTTGGCGAACTCAATGAACTGTTCCGGGACGTGGCTCACATTGTTCATGAGCAAGGTGGACAGCTCGACATTATCAGTGAGAATGTCGAACGAGTCGGCGATGACACTCGTGGAGCAAACGTCGAGCTCCGTAGCGCCAGCCGATACCAGAAGAATGCGCGCAATAAGGCCTGCTGTCTGCTTGTCATTCTTGCTGTTATCCTTACTATCATCGTCCTGGCGGCAACCCTGGGATAGACTTGAGCGTTAATTCTGTGTTCTCGCTTCCACTCCCGCAACCACGATACCGGATGTCGCATATCATGACTGTCCCCTATCTTGATGATATCCTCTCGATGTACGTTTACGCATGTGCTTTTGCTTTTTTCGCTACTGCAGGCGGCTTGTTGTGTTCTGTTACGTCGATCGCTATGGGTTCTCAGGCGCATACGGAGCGAGGATGTTCTATTTACATTTGCCGTTCTATCTTCCCATGCTCTATATCATACATAGCTTCTGTTATACACGAATTGTACACTGCGTTGCTTACCCAAGACCGTTCCCAAAACTCCGTTGTTCGCCTCTAATGCAGCGTAAGAAGAAAGACATTGGGGAGCTTTACAGTCCCATAAACTTGCTGAATCTCATGCGGCAGCCCTCCACTGTGTTCAGTTTCGGCCGGACATCCAGGTAGAAGCTGAGCTTGCCGGGTCCAGCATTGGCAGCCAGGCCGGGAGCATTGTTTGCACCCGACGATTTTCCTTGGTAGAAATCGATGACATATTCGATCCTTTCACCACCACATCTCTCCACAACCCAGTCGTGCCGATCAAAGGGAAGCTGGTAGCCCATCAGGTTATTTATACGGGCACGGGGGCTCAGGAACTGCGGGTCGACACCCAGACCGCGGAAAGCATACAGCTTTGGGCCTCCACATTTCTTGCTACCGGGGTCCGACATGGGGGCCCGGCTTTCCCATTGCAAGATCTGCTGCCAGGCGCGCTCATTGACGGCGTTATGGATAGGAATGATGGATGCGACGGTAGTCGCCAGTTCGGAGGCGGAGGTTGTAGAGCTAGGAGTGTTGCCCTTGCGCACAAGAGCTTCGAAGAATTGCCGTTCTGACGGATAGATCCAGTTTCCAGTGTTCGGGTCATGACCGGTTTCAGCTTCTGCATTGGATGGGGTGCCATGCGATGCGGCCGTGGCAGCGTAAGGTGAAGCGGGCGCATTTGACGAGTCGGCACTCGACGGCTGGGAGGTAGTGTCAATGGCGCGCGGTATACTGCTTACTTCACGGTCGGTTGACAGAGGCCTTTGAGATTTGCCTTTCGATTCCTGTCCATCTTCGGAGGGTAGAGGGTGAGGAGGTGCAGCGCCGCCAGATGCTTGGTGCTGCTGCAACCAGGCCTCGCGAGTTTTGTGATCAACAGGGCATACACCAGCCGCAGGCGGCTCGGGGGACGGAGTACTTGCACCAGCACCCATTGTTCTAGGTGAGGATTGGGATGGAGTGACAAACAGAGACCCGGCCGCGACACTTGGAGCGAGAGGAGTGGATGGGATAATGAGGTTTGATTGCAAATCGATTGGATCGCGCGGAAAGGCGGGCAAATTCTGGCCGCTCACCGCCTCGGGAACCCGACAACAAAAGCCCCAAACTTTCCCAACAAGGAAATCCCCCGCCTTTTCGTCGCTCGTCTTTAGCCTTCGCCCCTGAACGCTTCTCTCTATCTTCCTTCCTTTTTATATCTTACCTCCAAGTCTCTTCAAGTGTATTTTGCTTGTTTTAATAGTCCTACAATGGCTGCTCCCGCTGACAGTCAGGTCTTCCGGGCCACCACCACCGCCCCTGTCAACATCGCCGTCATCAAGTATGCCTCCCACTCTGTATCCGATCATACGCATGTTTGGTGGAATCTAATTGTGCTTCAATAGGTACTGGGGCAAGCGCGATGCTGTTCTCAACCTTCCTACGAACTCTTCCCTCTCCGTCACCCTTTCGCAGCGTTCCCTCCGCACTCTCACCACCGCTTCCTGCGCTCCTTTTTACCCCGCCAAGGACGAGCTCACCCTGAACGGCAAGCCCCAAGACATTCAATCCTCCAAGCGTACACTTGCTTGTCTGGCCAGCCTTCGCGCTCACCGTCGTGAGCTCGAGGATGCAAACCCCTCGTTGCCCAAGCTGTCCACCTTCCCTCTCCGCATTGTCTCCGAGAACAACTTCCCCACCGCCGCTGGTCTCGCCAGTTCGGCTGCCGGCTTTGCGGCCCTTGTTCGCGCCGTGGCAGACCTTTACCAGCTGCCCCAGTCGCCCCGTGATCTGAGCCGCATCGCTCGTCAGGGCTCTGGCTCTGCCTGCCGTTCTCTGATGGGTGGTTATGTCGCCTGGCGCGCTGGATCCCTGGAGGATGGAAGCGATAGTTTGGCAGAGGAGGTTGCGCCGCAGTCTCACTGGCCTGAAATGCGTGCCCTCATCCTGGTTGTCAGTGCCGCAAAGAAGGATGTTCCCAGCACTGAGGGTATGCAGACGACCGTCGCTACTTCGAACCTCTTTGCTACCCGGGCGAACACTGTTGTTCCGGAGCGGATGGCTGCCATCGAGACCGCCATTCAGAACCGTGACTTCCCCGCCTTTGCAGAGATCACGATGCGCGACTCCAACGGCTTCCACGCCACTTGCTTGGACTCATGGCCTCCGATCTTCTACATGAACGACGTCTCTCGCGCTGCCGTCAGACTTGTTCATGACATCAACCGCGCCGTCGGCCGGACCGTCTGCGCCTACACCTACGATGCGGGCCCGAACGCTGTCATCTACTACCTTGAGAAGGATACCGAGTTTGTTGCCGGTACCGTCAAGGCTATCCTTGGTGAGAAGGCGGAGGGCTGGGAAGGTCCCTTCTACACGCCTCTGAAGGACGTTACCACCCCCGGCGTGTCCCTGGATGAGGTGGATCCCCGCACCGTGGAATCGCTCCAGGATGGTGTGAGCCGTGTGATCCTGACCGGTGTTGGCGAGGGTCCTATCTCGGTGGATCAGCATCTTGTCAGTGAGAAGGGCGACATCCTTTCTGCCTAGAGGCTTCATCGCATTCTGGGAGAATTGAAACACCAGCAACTAAACGAACAGAGGGTCCCCGCACATCGGAAACCCTCAAGATACCCATATGCTTTGCATTTGTTGCGCAACTTCCCAGACTATCAGCCCTTCTAGCACCGCGGACGATAAGAGGCCATCATCGCTCTATATGATATAGATAATTATTTTTTTTCCCGGGCCACTTCAACATTTCTTTTTGCATACCCATTTAATAATATAAACCAAAACACATGACGGATTTCATGAATTTTTCAAATGATTCTATGTATGACTTTTTGATGAAACCTAAGAACAACAAAGTTATCGAATGCAATAATACCTAGAGAGATCCCCCCTCAGTTCAACAAAGCCGACAACTTAATCTCCTTAACCGCCGGCACCTCCCTCCCCTTCCCAACATTCGCCGTAGCGGTAACACTATCCCAGAACACACTCTGCCCCCCAGTAGCATGAGGCACTCCGTCCTCCCCAAATGCAGCTCCAGCTCCATTCTCTCCCTCTCCAGCATCACCAGCACCTTCCCCATCTGCACCACCCACAGCCTCAGCAACCAGAGCCCCAAACACCTCCTCCCGACTCTCCTTACACAGCTTCAACACCTCACTCATCGCCTTCTCCACCGCCACCGCCCGCTCCCTCATACCCCTCCTCAACAACGCATCAACCAGCGCCTCAACCTCACTCACCGTCGAATTTGCCCTCTCCAACAGTCGTCTCACACTATTAACCAGATACTCCTCCTCATACACAGTCCCCTTCTTACCACGCGCACGCTTCCTCTCCTCCTTCCTCCGCGTCTTCGACGTATGCCGCGACGAGCTCGTCTTCCCTGTCTTCCCCGTGTTGCCCGTATACCGCGTGAACATGGACCGGCCCGCCAACGTAGAAGCGTCAGTAGGCGCCAACGACACATTGTCGGGGATATCCACCCCCGCGGTGCCGTCTCCCAGGGTAGGGTCGCCACCGAAGTAGGCTAGCGGGTCAGTGGCGCGGCGGATGCGCAGTTCGCGGATCCGGGGCACTTGGGCGTTGAGTTGCGAGCGGAAGTCCGCGAGCAGGTCGGTCATGCTGCCCATTGAGTCGGCGAGACCGCCGTCGACTATCTCGGGAATTAGCGCGGATTGGTTGTGCAGGGTGAGGAGGCGCGTTGCTTCGGAGAACTTGGAAGCTCGGCAGAGGAGACGCGATGCCGCAGGGATGTCGTGCAGGTGGTCCGCATGGATAGTTGCCGCTGAGGTGTAGTCTTTGGATTCTTCGACTAGGGTGCTTATCAGGGCCGTGGCGTGCGCGCTTAGCTCCGCGGATGTGAGGGGCACGAGCATTGCGCAGTAGAGGGATTCGCGCCAGAGGTGGGCGAGGTGGTAGCTCTTGTAGGCGTCGGTGTAGAGTTCGAGGGATTCGTAGGCTGTATGGGAGGAGGTGGTTAGTTCGGTGGGTGGGGATTGGGGGTAAGGGGTGGTTGTTGGGTACGTACCGATGCCTGCTTCCTTGTACTTGGACCGGTCGAAGAGGTAGTCGGCATAGAGGTGGGTCATCTCGCGCAGTTGCTCAGCCTGGTACTTGTAGAGGTCGATGGCGTCCTTGTAGAGGACGTGCTTGATTGTGTAGGCGCGGAGTTCATCGTGGGCGTTCAGAGCGTGCAGATGCTTGATCGCCTTGGATGTCCGGCCCAGGTAGTTGTCGATCTCGAAGTAGCGGCGAAGTTCGGGTTGCTGCTGCAGCTTGCGCAGGAATGGTAGGTACTCGCGGGGATCCTTGTGCAGTTGGTTAGTATGCTGTGAGGGTTGGGATACAGATGCTTGCTTACCCGTTGGGCTTGCTGGGCGACGAGCAGTGTGAGCTCCAGGTCGTAGAGCCCCAGCGCGTTATCGTACAACTGGTTAGCATCCGTCAAGAAGCACATGTGCTCGATTGCGTCGTCTGCCTGTTCGGGCGATTGTTCTGCAGGAGAGGTAAGTATTGAGTAGGAAAAATGGGAGTCTGGAGTACGAACCCCTCAAGCGTGCAACCAACTGCAGACCGGACTCGAGATCTGGTGGCGACTTGCAGACATGCGCAGTGATCAGGTTGTGCAGGTTGGTGTCAATGCGCTTCTCCAAAGTAGACAAGAAGGCGTCGCAGATTTTGTTGACTTTGCTGCCCTTGTTTGGTGCTGCTGCAACAATTCCGGCCGGCGCGTTGTCTGCCTTGGGCGTTTTCAGGGTGTCTTTGTAGAGAGTCTGGGAAACATCCTCCTCACTGGAAGTAATCAGCCAGTATGCCTTGAAGGACAAGGTGTTTTGCATACCTAAGACGGGAGATAAACTCATCAATGAAATCAATCTTCTTTACTTGATCCACAAACAATTGGATGTTCTCCATGAACTGCTCCGGAGCATAGTCGTGAATGATATTCATATCCACCATCTGACTACGGCAGGTCAAGAATGCAGCCCGATAGTTCTTGCGGTCAATGAAGTTTCTGATACCGGCCAGAACGAGAGCTCTGGGATAGATGGTTTCGAGGTTTCCACGGGGCATCTGCAGGATAACAGCAAAGGTTGTGGGCATCACAGTCACTAGACGTCCGCCACGTTCAATGCTTCTGCATCGTTCATCTGTTTCAGGGGTGTCCGGAGGAATGTCCATATCTAGAAAATTAGATTAGCTGATGTTAATATGGCTGGTAGATTGTCGATATTCTCACCTTCCACTGTAGTCAAGTGCACAAATTTGATCAGGTGGAGGGAAGTTGTAAACAGGATATGGGCCTGAGTTACAAGGAAGGAAGTGCAATTCTTCGCAAGGAGTCGCTTGTTGGCATACAGGGCCCCGGACCTGGTCATGGAGACCAGAACGTGCTTCAAGAAGTTAGCTGTGAAAGTATTCTAAGTCCTGAGAAGGGCTTACCTCGTCCTCAGAAATCTGTGCAGCCTTAGCCCAGTATGTATCAACTGTTGGGCTTTCAAGCCAAGGTAGGATCTGGAACTCCTCGGAGGAAGGCATGGAGACATAGGAGTAGGTGACCGGCTGGTTAGGCGCCTTAACGTGAGAGAACCACAGGGCTTCATGTCCGAGGGAGGTGAACATTGAGAGTATTTGCTCCGAATCCGCTGCCTGATAAGCAACCTGAGTCGTGCGTGTCTCCAAAGCAGTGCGTTCAATTTGAGTGTTGTTAGGGCCATCGTCCTTGAGAATGTAAACTTCATGTTCGTTTACAAAGGCAATCTGTCGAGGCCGGCTATCAGGCGCATCCGACAACGGATAACTCGACTCGAGGATTGGGGACGGAACAGGTCTCGTTTTAAGAGACCAGAGGAAGATAGAAAACCGATCCTTCATAAGAACAGCCATCCGCGTTCCCGACTTGCTGAATGCCACATCAACAATGTTCGAGTCTAGTGTCAGCTCATTGTGAGCCATAGGAGGAGGAACTCCCGCCAGCCTCAGAGGAGTCAATTTGAGGATTTCTTTCGCCGTCAGATACATTCGACCAATATATATAGTGGTGAGACTTACTTCCATCGATGACAGCGACAGCGCCAACATCGTCCGGGCTGGTGGTGGATCCCTGAGATACGTCGAAAACAAAGTCCACATCCAACATTGATCCTGCGACGGATTAGAAAATAGACCATAAAAGATATTCGCAATTTTTTTATTACCTGAAGCCCCAGCAATAAATCGTAGAGCCTTCTCCTGATGCCATTTCAAGGAGAACGGATACGGATATTCGGCGTTCACTCCAATTGGAATCTCTTGCTTGAGGTAGTAGTGGTAGTTGCCGGTTGTCCA